AACTCCCATGGTAACGGTGGCATTTTAAGGACAGAGAAAGGGAGATCATTCTATCTAGTGATGTCCAGTAACCAAGATCTACCTGTCCCAGCCCCCCCCCCCCACTCTGTTAAAGAGCCTCCACTCTATTGTAGAGCACAGGCTGCTGGAAATCAGGGTGAGTCAGGCGTGAAGCTGACCTCCTGTGTGCACCACGTCCAACTTGCAGCCTTGCAGTTGCTACTTCCACACTTCCCTGCCTTCTCCAGTGACCTGGTCCAGTGACCCAGTCCCTGAGAACAAGGCGAGTCACCAACAGAAATGTGCAAAGTCTCTGCTTAGCACAAACACATTTTACCCCCTTCCCTTGGGGGCAGAGAGGGGGGAAAGTGAGAGACACTCCACTCTCATGATAACGGGGTGATTCTTCATGAGAGCTCTGGGGAGAAAAATGTGCCAGGAAAGGATGCCAAGACTGTGTATTTGCCAGGGAGTAAATAAAGATGTGATCCTTTGCAATTCTGAGCGTGTCCCTAGGGGAACACTTGTTTCGTAAGTCGCAGATGACAGCTTACCCAGGCTTTACACATTCCTCCTATTAACGGTTCCTTTTCATCTAGCCCCATGCAGAGCAGCTGAAAACACACACCAAAATGCGTAGATATGGGCTGTTTCACGTTTCCACACAGAAATCAACTATCACAATAAGACCTACAGCAGGACTTCCAGGAGCCTCAGAGCAAGAAGGATCTGGAAAGAGACGCCGACTCAACTCCTGAAATGAGACAAGACAAGGTCCAAGTTCCCCTGACGCCCTGTTCTCAGAGCCATGGGATGGGCTGAAAGCCAGCCGTTCACCAACAAGGGCTGAGAGGGTATTTCATTTGTTTACTTGCTCACCTTTCTTCCTCTCCCTTCTTCATTATTTTATAAGGGCTCATGTGTTTTTGTATGTGCTTAAAACATATTTTCAAACACCTTTGGCAAACTTGGCAGGTACTATTAGAACTTCAAAGATCCATTTTTGGTCCAGGGGTTAAAGAGCTCTACTGTCAATGAAAAGGTTAGTGGTTTGAATCCCACTGCAGGGGAAAGACGTGGTAGTTGTTCAGAAAGATCCTATAGCATTTGGGACCCTACGGGCAGTTCTAGTCTGTCCTGTGGGGATGTTCTGAGTTGAAGGCCATTGGGCTTTGGTTTTGTTGTTGTTGTTACTTGCCATCAAGTCGCCTGCAACTCATAGTGACCCTATGTACAATAGCACTGAAGCCTGCCCTGTCCTGAGCTAGTCGCACTGACTCCAACACACCTACTTTCATTGTCCCAGTTACTATATCAATCCATCTCATCTGGGGTCTTTCTCTCCTGTGCTGTCCCTCCACCATTCTGAGCATGATGTCCTTCTCCAAGGACCAGTTTCTCCTGGACCTGTGCCCAAAGTATGTGAGACAGAGCCTCAAAATCCTAGCCTCCAAGGAGAAACTTCAGTTCCTTCAGCTGAGAAATGCTGAACGAGTTCATCCCTTTTGATTTTCTGAATCCAGTTCCTTGAATATTTCATTATAATACTTTTTCTTGTCTTCTCGAGCTGCCCTTTGAAATCTTCTATTTTGTTCCTTAACTTCTTGATTTCTTTCCTTTGCTTTGGCTTCTCAGCATTCTAGTGCAATATTCAGAGTCCTCCTGACATCCAGTTTGGTCTTTTTTTTTTTTCCTTCCTTACTGTAGTAACTTTTTGCATTCTTCATGAATGATATTCTTGATATCTTCCCACAGCTCACCTGGTCTCAAGACCTCAAACCTATTCCTGAGTTAGTTTTTAAATTCAAGGGTGATAGACTCAAGATCAAATTTTGATGCCTGTGGATATGATTTAATCTTCTTTACCTTTAATTTGAACTTGCACATGAGTTAGTTGATGGTCTGTTCCAGAGTCCAAACCTGGCCTCGTTTTCACTGCTGATCACTGAACTTCTCCAGTGATGTAACTGATCTGATCCCTGTGCATTCCATCAGGTGAAATCCACACCTGCATTTATGTTTCTTGTAAAAGGTATTTGCTATGAATAAATCATTGATTGGACATGAGAACACATTAAATAACACCCTCATTTATTTACAAAAGCACAAACAAAATGCTCACTGGCATCATATAAAAAGCTAGCTAACTGTTTCATCCGCCAGTTCCATCTCATGGTTTGGAGCCCGAGTGTGGACAGGGAAGAGCTCCAGTGTTCTGTTCCCTCCTTTCTTTTCCTGACTTCTAAGCACCTGCATTTCCCACTCTGGAGCCGCAGGGCACAAAGGGATGGGAAAGGCAGGGATGTGTGCGCCGCACAGTGAAAGCCCGACTTGGCTGTCCTATGATATCATTTACTTTTTATAGCCTGGCTCTCAAACACAGTAATTGCTTTCTTTTTTTAAAGACGTGGATTTACACCACACTGAAGCTGAGTGCCCCTATATATAGGTCTCCCTCTACTATAACAGGGAATTCGCAAGATCCCAGCCCTGTAGACCTAAACATAGCAGTCGGCCTAGGAACGGGCTCCTTTTCTCATATAAACAAATACCAAAAGGTAACGTGTCCATCTGTCACCAAATGGCAATTCCTAAACCCAGCCTTTATGACAAATCGCAATGGGGGTGAGGGGAGCATGGGCACCATTTTTTTTTTCTTCCAGGAAATCTGTTGTCTGAATAACCTTCTTCTTGTTGTTGTTCTTGTTGTTGTTGTTAAGTGCCATCGAGTTGTAGGCGACTGATAGTGACCCTATGAACGAAAGTCCTCAACACTTGTGTGTCTTGCATCCTTTCTCTAGGTTCATAGGGTTTCCGGAGGCAAGCTATTACAGAAGTGGATGCCACTCCTGCTTCCAAACTTGTTTTAATTGGGGAGCTCCACCAAACACTGTCCACCATGGGTAACCATTATCACATTTGAGATATCAGTGTCAGTCACAGTGTTCAACTTCACAGCAACCACAAGTTACCTCTGTACGGCAAGTGGACATACCAGGGCTCTACGACCTAGAAGAAAGTCTCACCAAAACCAATTAAAGACAGGCCCGAGGGCCACAGATTAGAGCCACCCACCTGCGGCTTCATAGCATTGCTTTCGGTCCACTAGGCCAACTGGTCTCTCAGGATATGAGGGAGGCATGGTACAAGCTGGAGTTTGAATAACCTTGTACAATTTTTTTTTAATTGCTATCATATTTTTTTTCATTTGTTGTTCTTTTGTGTGCCGCTGAGTCACAATCAACCCACAGCTGACCTCCAGCAGGTTTTCAGAGACAGTAAACTGCATGGGAGACATTATGTCCACCCACACTCCACAGAGTGGCTGGTGGCTTCCAAACGTGTGCCTTCGGGACAGCAGCGCAGCTCCTGCCCCCGGGCCACTGCATTTGGGTTAGCTCTTATCATCTGTTTTTTAAATAAATAAACCAACCCACTGTCATCAGATTGATTCTGAGTCATGATGCTCCTCGATCTGGTCTCCAAAGCTGCAGAGCTTAAGGAGAGAAGATTCTTTTCTCCTCCCATGCAGTGAGTGGTGGATTCAAACTGCCGACATTTGCAGGCCAGCAGGTTTTCCCCAGTGACCTTTGTAGCCTACTATGCCCCTAGGGCTTCTCTAGTTCACATGCTGGAACTTGAACTTTTTAGTAGAAAGCGCAGTAAGGAGTTTCACTGGAAGCTCAAAGGCACATGTTTCAAATGCACCAGCTGCTCCACAGGAGAAAGACAGGCAATCTCCTCCCGTGTGATTTAGACTCTGAAAACTCACTGGAGAGTGGGCAGTGGGTTGGTGCTGAGTCAACACTACACAACAACAAATCTTTTTTCATATATCATTTTCTTTTTAGTGAAAGTTTACAGAAAGGATGGGTTTCCGGTCATTCTTTGACACACATTTTTCTCCCATCCCTCCCTCCGATTCACCCTGCAATGCACGTCCTGTTCCACACTGTCACTGTCACTGTCACACACATACAACAAAGGTGAGCTGGAAAAGTTTATTTCAGACTACGTTCAATTATATTAGTAGAAAATTCAATGAATTCAGTTAATTAGTAGAAAATTCCCTTTGTTCTTTACTGACTTATTTCCAGAGAAAGGTGGCAAGAAATCTGTTTCTCAAAATCCTAGAGCTGTAAAGCACAGCATCGCGAGTGCAATTAAAGAGCTTTGAAGTCAGACTCTGTCAAGGTGCAGCTCCCCGCTGACTCCCTCAATGCCCTGCACCTGTACCCTTCTCTCCACACTGGAAGAGAACTCTCTCATTCTATGAGACGTGGATAAAGAGCCTGGCATGAGGCACGCAAGGTCCAGTGGTAGAATTCTTGTCCTCCATGAGGAGACACAGGTTCAGCTTCCAGCCAGTGCACACTCACGGCCAACACCTATCAGTGAAGGCTTGCCTGGAGCCCTGGTGGGTTAATGATAAGTTCCCAGCTGCTGACAGCCAGGTTGGTGGTTCAAGCCCACCCAGCAGCTCTGAAGGAGGGAAAAAAATCTGGCAATCTGGTCCTATAAATACCGCAGACTAGGAAACCCTAGAGGGAGGTCTCCTCAGTTTTAAAGAGTCACTATGAGTTGGCATTGACTTGGTGGTGGACAACAGACACAATGCTGAGCAAGTTCCCACAGAGCATCGGAAGAAAGGCCTGGTAACACACTTACGGGAACTATGGATCACAACAGTCTAGTTCCGTTTATCTTATTTGAGTGTGAGTGCGTGTGTGTGTATGTGTGTACTGTCAAATCAGATCTGACTCGTACAGGAGGAGACTGTCCTTCCTTCTCCAGCAGAGCATCTGGTGGATTTGAACCACATACCTCTGGGATTGCAGTGCAGGTTCTTGCCACTAGGCCACAACAGTCTAGTTCCTACCTGGCCATGGGGATGGCGCAGGATCGTGGCCAGCAGCTAACAATTACAACAGTCCCTGACAGCATCAGCAAGGTCATGACGCTCCTGACGAGAAGAGACCACATCCCACTTCCAATCCCACCTTTCTCCGAGGAAGGGAAGTGAGGCTCAGGGAACTTAGGCAACACACACCCCAGCCATCTGCTGTTCAGCAAGAGTGGTTTACAGAGCCGGGCGAGTCAGGACTGCAGCTGTCAGCAGGTGCCCTCGAGTACAATTCATAGCAACTCTACAAACAACAGATCTGAGCCCTGTCCTGTTCTGTGACATCCTCACAAGCTCTGACACACTCGAGCCCACTGCTGGAATCCCTGTGCCAATCCACCCGGTTGAGGGTCTTCCTCTCTTTGGCCATCTTTCCACCTTCCCAAGCATGACTGATGTCTCTCTCCAAAGCACGTGAGATCAGGCTACCCTCCTCTTACCTCTATGGAACCCTCTGGCTGCACTTTCTCTGAGACATACGTGTTTCGGGGGTTTCGGGAACCCATGGAATACTCAACACTCTTCTAAAAAAGCTCCAGTTCTTCTTGTTATCCCTAGTCATTGTCCAGCTCTCAGAGGGAGAGCAAGTGATTGCAAAGACCATGGACTGAATCGGGGGCACCTCAGTCTTTAAAAACATCGAGTTAGGACTTCTAAAAATTATGAACAAAAGCTTCACACAGACTCCAATTCCAAGAACAAATCAAGGCTAAACCTCATCATCGCTGAACGCCTGCATAAATAAGGACTTTGCCTCAGGCACCACCAGCTTCCTCCGGCACTATGTGACTCTCCATCTCTGCTTGTCCACTGCAGGGCTCCGAGGCCAGGATGGCACCTAGAACAGCACACGCAGCTCAGACAGAAGACACAAGAGCGGTGCAATGTCGCCGTGGCCCTGAAGAGCCACGCCGGACCCGCCCACAGAACACAGGAGCTCTGACAGACGTGGCTGGAAAGGATGAGAACTGGGGGAGCAGGGTGTCCACGTGGCAAGACAAACTCCTGCTATGCAACTGGAATTTAAATAAGATCACCTTTTTTTAAAGAAGTAGAACTAGTTTTCTTTTCCATAACATGATTTCATACGTGTTTTTGTTGTTAAGTGCCACTGATTGGGCAGAATATGATTCATAGCGACCCGACGAACAACAGATCTGAACCTGGTCCTTTCACAGGCCTCACAATCCCTGCTGTGTTCGACTTCATTGTTACAGTCACTGTCGCCAACCCAGCTCGTTGAGGGTCTTCCTCTCGTTCTCCGAGCCTTTCCTTGCATGGTGTCTATGTCCAAGGACTGATCACCTTCTAACAAGTGCAAAGTACGTGAGAAGAAGTTTCACTACTTCTGTAGCTTAGTCTAAGGAGCAACCTAGATGCACTTACTCCAAGACAGACTTGTCTGTTCTCGTGGCAGTCCTGGGGAAATTCAGTCAACTTCTCCAACACCACGACTCAAGGCCCTGGTTCTTCTTCTACCATCCACAGTAAGACTGCGTTCTGCGTCAGCTACAACGTGCCGCAGCCTGCCTTCCTCATGCTGTCTGCATCTCTGGGCTGCACTTTCAACATCCCTCTCTCTATCACGTCATGGGAGCTGCTGTTACTATGAAGCTAGAAGTGTTTTGATTTGAGTTTTTTTTTAAAAAAAAAAAACCACAAAATTTTTTCTAAATTTTATTATTTTGTGTGTGTGTGTACCCCTCAAATCAGATCTGACTGGTACAGGAGGAGATTGTTTCTCCTCCAGCAGAGCATCTGGTGGATTCGAACCGTGCTCCTCTGGGATTGCAGTGCAGCTTCTTGCCACTAGGCCCCCAGAGCTCCCTCTCTGAATCTAGAAGTTATGCCACCAGTATCTCAATCCCAGCAGGGACGCCTACAGTGTACAGATTCCAGCTGAGCTTCTAGACTAAGGCAGACTAGGAGGAAGGGCCTGGCAATCTATTTGCAAAAATTACTCAGAAGGCCTGATGGATCACAATGGAATGTTCCCTAAAACATGGCAGGAAAGGAGCCTACTGAGTCAGAAAGAACTGAAATTCACAGCAGCCGGAAGAACAGGCTCTAGCATCCCAGGGATGAGGGGGAGTTTGTTGTTATACGTGTGTCACTGTGAGTCAGGGTACACCTCGCCGCAACTGACAACAACAACAAATTCGCCGACAGGCTCACAGGAAGCCAATGTGCCAGGAACAGGCAGCATCTGGTTTAAAATTCAGCCCTAGCCCAGGCCTTCCTCCCTGTCAGTGTCAAAGCCGACATCCTCAAGTGGCCAGATTCGTAAGTTAAAGTCAGGCATCTTGAATGAAAAAGAAAAGGGGTATAGATTCCAAAGGAAAATCTATCTTATTGCCAGAGGAGAAAAAAAAAAAATGGAAAAAGAGAAAACCGACTCCTCCTCTTCTCTCACTGCCCTAGTTTGAAAACCGCTTCTCCAAAACAGAAGCCAGAAAGAAAAAAACCCAAGATGGATACAGAAAGGAATTCACTTTCTACACCACAGCCCAGCTGCCAAGGGCGAGCCCAGCCCAGCGACGGGACAGGAGCATGCCAGCGATCCTTCACTCAAAAACCCTGTTCAGTCCTAACATCCACAGACTGGAACTTTCATTAAGGAACTACCATACTCAACTATTCCATGCTGTCGGTGAACCAATGAACAACCTGGAGGCTGGGCTAAGTGTGCATCCTTTTCATCTTACATAGGGTCTCTATGAGTCACCTATGACTCAATGGCACTTAACAACAACAACAATGGCATAGAGAGAGATCAGTTGGCCTAGTGAACAGAAAGTGATGCTACAAAACCAAAGGTGGATGACTTTAATCCACAGCCTTCAGGCCTGGTTTTAATTGGTTTTAGTCGAACACTCTTCTAAGCGGTGTAACACTGGGCTGTCCTTTTGCTGTACAGAGGTAACTCATGGTTGCTGTGGTGTTAACACTGTGACACTGATGTGTCAAATGCAATAATGGTTACCCATGGTGGACAGTGTTTGGTGAGCTCCCCGATTAAAACAAGCTTGGAAGCAGAAGTGGCATCAACTTCCATAGATAGCTTGCCTCCGGAAACCCTATGAACCTGGAGAAAGGATGAAAGTCACACAAGGGTTGAAGACTTTTATTTATAGGGTCACTGTGAATCGCCTACAACTTGATGGCACTTAATCACAACACTACCACAATGGAAACTGAGCTGTGACCTCCTGCCAAAGGAGTACAGTGTCTGATATTGTCAAGTTCCTCAGTGAGGAGACACAGAAGCTTAACTGGAGAACAAAGAGACCACATGGACCTCATCCCCCAGGATCCTAAGACCAGAAGCACTAGATGGTGCCCGACTGTCACTATTGAAGGCTCTGAAGATGACCACAGTTGGTACTGAACAGAATAGGGCAACGTGGGTAACAAAACTGTAAAAAATATCATAAAAAGATCAGACTTATTTTGATAGAGACTTAGCGGGACACCCAAGAGACTGTAGTCCTTGGCATTCTTCACGTCTGGAACCCACCTCCCAGAGACAATGTTTCAGCCAAAGACAAATCTATAAAGTTAAGGGTAATACTTAGGAAGAGTGTATTCATGAATAGGTGGAATTTTTCCCAAAACAAAGCTTAGGAGGTAGAAAGGGGCAGGAAAGGAAAGATGGAAGCTGGGAACCTAATGAAGAAGCCAGAAGAAGACTATTAAAATGAGGGAATTTTAACAGTCTTTTTCCTTGGTCTTATTTCTGTTTTCTTAAATAATTTTGTGGGATATCAAGTTTTGAGGGCTACATCTTTACTAGTGAATTCCTTGTTCTAAATTCCTTTGTGACAAAGAAGGAAGGGAAAAAGGGAAGGAGGGAGGGAGGAAGGTAAGAAAGGAAGGAGGAGGGATAGAAAGAGGGAGGGAGGGATGAAAAGAGGAAGGGAGGGAAGGAGGAAGGAAAAGAGGGTGCTATCTGGCCAGACTCCCCTAATTCTATAGCAGAACCCCCAGTAGTACCGTTAACTCGCTTCACTACTTACCAAAGGTGCCTGGAAGACTGGCTTTGTGACATGTTGCTGAAAAATTAGCTAAGGAATTACCATTACACTGAGCAATCCTAATCCCAGACATACACCCAAGATATGTGAAAATAAGAACACAAAGTGTGCATCAACATTTATTTCAGCATTATTCCCAACAGTCAAACGGGGAAACAACAGGAAGCACAGATAACTAAAATGTGGGCTCTAGAGACAGTGGGATACGGCTCGCCAGAGAGAGGTGAAATCGTGAAGCAGGCTTCCATGTGGACCAACTCTGAAAAATACCGGACTCTTACAGTATTAAAGAAAATCAAAGGAGATCTGTTTATGAAAGTGTTTTTCAAAGGATTTAAAGGAAGCTCACTTGACAGCATGACAAACAAAAAAAACCTCTTTGCACGAGTTGGAAGTGACTCACAGCTGACTCTACAGGGGTTTGTGAGGCTGTAAGTCACAAGAGGAGATAACCTATCTTTAAAGTCATGGGCGGGTTACAAACACTAAATTGCAAAGACTACACTTCCGAAGGGGTCGTGGTACCAGGGATATTGTAGCTAATGTTAGATGGATCTTAGCTGAAAGCAGGGAATACCAGAGGAATGTCTTTCTGTGTTTCATTGATTATGCAAAGGCACTTGACTGTGTGGATCCTAACAAACTGTGGCTGACTCTAAGAAGAATGGGTATTCCAGAACATTTGATTGTTCTAATGCGAAACCTATACTTGGACCAAGAGGCAGTTGTCAGAATGGAGCAAGGAAACACTGCATGGTTCAAAATTGGGAAGGGTGTACGCCAGAGATGCGTCCCATCTCCATACCTTTTCAACCTGTATGCAGAACAGATCATCCGGGAGGCTGGGCTCTATGAGGAGAAATGCGACATCAGGATTGGTGTAAGATCATCAACAATCTGCGTTATGCAGATGACACAACCCTGCTTGCTGAAACTGAGAAGGACCTGAAGCGCCTGCTGCAGAGTGTCAAGGACTGCAGCCTCCAATATGGATTGAGGCTCAATGTCAAGAAGACAAAGATTCTTACCACTGGGCCAATTGGCAGCATCAGGATGGATGGTGAAGAGATTGAGATTGTTCACAGCTT